GTGTTTACATGGCGGCTGACCTTCCTTCCCTTTCCCACTCATTTACGGGCCCATGCTACCCTGCAGGGCAAAAATCAAGTTTGGGTTAGTTAAAAGGAGTGAAACAGAAGGCAAAATTGACCATGTGTATTGACAAATTAATTATACCACCATACACCATCTGGAGGGTGGATGGTATTGAATGAGGTTTCGCATAGTGAAGCACAGTATGGTGTTGATGACAGGAATCATTAAAACAAAAACGTGGCCGAAGTCAATATTTGTTTTGAATTTCAATAATTTGGTAAATATTTAGGGGATCCATTGACACTGTGTCTTAAGACACTGATTCATGATCAATTGTTGGTGCTGTGAAAATATTAAAATGGTGAATATCTGCTCTCTTAGGCGACATTGAAATAATCGTTTACAATCATGGAAGTAATGAGGGCATCTTTTATGATAATCAACGTTTTTATTTCTGATCAAAGTGGTAAATCATGAAAACTGCTCGTTCTTTCTAGTAAAGCGGTTTTAATTGATTTTTCATTGAATAATTTCCCTATTTATTCATTCAGAGATTTTACTGGATGTTATGACGTATAATTGATCACTTAACGCACGTCCAGCGATCCTCGAAAACTATTTTGGATATTTAAATTAAAATCAAAAGACATGCACAGCAGATTATTGAAGTGTTGGCTATTTCTCCTACCTTAATTTGTTTCTCAGAAATCAAGGTTGCCTCAAGAGCATGAGAAGCGCGAAATGTGACGAATGCTTTATTCGTGTGAGATCAAGTTGGCGTGAATTGTTTGCAGCTTCGATGTAATTAGGTCGAGCTCAAAAACTACTGCGAACTCATAAAGTTTTATCTAGACACACTTAACAGCGCAGAGTTAATTTATTACAAAAGGATGTATTATGATAAGCATGTTTTAGGAGGTATCCACTGAAAACCTATGTAGGCACTAAATTTTGACTGTTCACCTTTTGAAATTTCTGAAAGGATAACAAAAGGCATAATTAGGTTCAATTGTCATCATTAGCGTGTAAAAACCATAAACAGCTACTTAGTGTAAAAGCATTTAACCAAAATTCTGGGGAACACGTGTTGCAAGCGTATTCCTCATTTTTAATCCGACGAGGAATTTCTGTTTGGAGATATCTACGGAGGTGCAGTAGACCAATTACGAGTAGGTTGACCTAGGGAACACAAAATATGGAAAGCGCTTTTGCATTCGGGTCAAACATATGGACTCATCTTTGGGGAATAATGGTGTTTGGATGTCATTTTGTTTTATACTTCATAGGCTATACAACAATAAAATTTGATTTGCTATGGATTAAGTGGCCGATCAGTTCAATATGGCTTAGTAACTCAAATCGCCGATTCTTTTCAACAATCCTGTAGCGTCCCGAGACTCCCTGAAGACAAAAGAAGACAAAATACTCGGGCAGCATATATATATATTCAGCACGGAGGTGTCTGGGCTATTGGCATGGCCCAAAAGGCCAGCCCACCCAGCGAGGTACAAGGGGGCTAATTCGAAGTACAAAAGTGGCGCCTCACCAGAACCGAGGGATAAACCACTATCGTATTACAATCCATTGAGTAAATATGCATTTAAATGAGCGTGAGATAAGAAACATCCTGACAAATGCCATTCTAAACCAGTCTCCTGTTTTTATATCGATATTTACGCGCAGATTTTTTCATTAGTAAGCTCTCAAAATGATCAGGAAAAGCAGGATGATCTCTCCATTTATTAGTTATTCTTCACATTCGAGAACTAAAAACAGGTATTTAAGAGAGTACTCATCGTGTTTTTTACCTCGGTTAGGGGTTTTTTAAAACGTCGTTCTAGTTTTACGAGGCCTTAAGCAATTGAATTGATCTTTGTAGCCTTTTTTTGACTATCGCCTGTAATCATGGTCCATTTTTAATTACCGATAATAGCAATTAAGTTCATTCAAGAATAGGTCGGTATTGGCGGTGGTTTCTAGTTAGGATAATTTTGTAAAAATTTTGGGAATTTGCAAATATTAACAGAATGTATAGATCTTTGGTTTAACTTCGATTATTTCAATGACACTTTGACATATCCAATTCTCTATTAAAATTATGTAACGGATGGCGTGATATTTATGCTTTCTTCAATTCATGTGGTTCCTTGAAAGCAAAACATGCACTAACCGGTCGAGACCACAATTGATTTTGGTTTGTCAAGTTGCAAGAGCTCTTTCCATCTACATACGTGATATGTGGAGTACTTTGTAATTTTAGTCAATAGATTTAAGGCCTTTTACAAAACAGTTTTTGTAAATGGTAGTAAGCTGAATTTAAGTTCTTCTTCCTAGTTAAAACCAATCTAGTAAAAATTTTTTTGGATAGACCATTCGGAAACTATGTTTACAAAATCTTATCAATAAAAATTGGCAGTACTTCATGGATAATTTTAGTTGCTAATAGAGACTGTGATCTACTATGTAGTGCACACCATTCGACTGTTTACACAACGAAATTATGCCTTTTGAATAATTGGACCATTACTTGTTAATGTAGTGCCCCGAGACCCCCTCCCCGCGAAGACAGTACCGGGCAGTTCATATGTATATGACATGCAATAGAGCTTGGGGCTACTGGCATGCTCAGAGGCCAGCCCACGTGGCGAAAGTACAATCTCGAGAACTCAAAAAGGGAGAGTTAAACAACTAACGTAAAACATTAAATAATGCTTTAGGCCATAAGGCTTCAAGTACTATTAAAAGTTGTGTTGTATGCAATCATGTACGAACTCGACTGTGCTTATGTATTCGGTAAATAATTTCCGAAAGACCTGACCTAGGGTGTTTTTCCAAACTCAGAATCTAAATGAGCTGCAACCATTAAAGGAACTGTAACGTAGACCGCTACCATATCATAAACCGAACATTACTGCATAACATCGCAAAACCTGGGGCATTCGATGACGAATAAGAAACCTGGGTTCCATTCGCCTGGCGCCATTTTTAACGAGCAGGCAAACCGTTTTATTAAAGACAATGGGTAAAGGAATAAACCGATTCATTTTCCACGGAATAGGTCAGGATAACGATGGTTAGTGTGAATTTGGAGAAATCGTGAATCGTGTCCGTACCAGAGATTGCCAAGCGTGGAATTTCAACCAATGGGCGTCCACCTTGAATGCCACACGTGCCAACTTTGGTCTAGCTAATTCAGTGTTTTCAAGTCACACACACAATTAATTTTTAAAATTCAGTGCATTAATGTCGAAATCGGTGCATGTATAACTAAAACACTTCACTTTCTCGTCACCAATTACGAGACTATTTGATGTCACCAAAAATGACAAATTTAAAGCTTACTATCCACCATTTTCTGGCTGTTACATCTTTTGGATCCTTGAACAAGCTCTGATACGTGTTTTTAAATTTGCTGAAATTTTCATGTAACAACCATTATTTGTCCGAAGTGTCTACATGTCGTGGCATATGTCGAGAGAAAAGTACTAAAAGGGTGCTTGAAGCACGATTTTCAAACGCGTGGTAAGTAGTTACAAGTCCCATTAAATGCGAGCATTGCTAAAGTTGATAAGATTACTGAGAGATGGACGGTTTCTTAAAGCTGGCCGCTTTAGTGATTCAAACTACGTATCCCGATGAAAAAAAAGGGAGTAGTATCCACTTTCACACATTTTATGCTTCGCTCACCTTTCTACTGACAAATTAGTGTTTTGTATTCCCAGCATAATTGAGTGAGGCACGTCAACAAAAACGTAAAGTTTAAGTGCAAAATTTGAATCGAAAATTAATGGAGTAAAGGTTGCACGAACCTTAGAGGAACATGCCTTCACTAACTAGAAAATCCTAACATAGTTTGTGTTCTACATCTATCAAACGCGTATTTTTCCTTGAAAATCATAAGCATAAATTAACCACTTCTATTAAAGATGGGATTTTATAAAAAATAAATAACCACATTAAGCTTCCCAGAAGGCCTCATTAATTGGATCCGTCGACACTACAATCCATAAAACCTTCTAAAAATAGAAAATCTTGCAAAATCCACTTCTGTAAGGTATTGTCCTTGGGAGGTTAATAACTCATCCCCAGCCATCCCCATTTCAGCCCCGCTTTTATCTCCCGAATGCCTAATTCCCATGTAATGGGGTGGTGCCAAGGAAAGAAGACAACCATCACATGAAGCAGCATCAGCGGGACACGGAAGATAAGATAGAGTAGCATCTCTACCTCCAATTTAAATCTTTCTATT